GATTTATAGCGTGTGTTATAATGGTTGTTAAGTTTAAAGTGAGTGTGGAAATTCTGTGTATTACTAAAAGTTGTATCGAGAAAGAATAAAATGGTTTAGTCAAAAAAGGACTTGTGTTGCTGAAGTTCCTCGGAAAGAATTTATACCAGAAATTATCAAACAGGCAGATGCATAACAACTACTTCCTTGCAATCACTAGCTTCTCTTGCTCTTGCAGTGTTGTTATCTTATGTGCTATCATCCCTTCTGCATTTTGAAAGTTCATTATCTACTTGAGCAAAGCATGGTTAACCTGGAAGATTAGCCATCTACCATACAAATAGTGATAATAGTGTTTCACACAGACCACAACTGCAAGCATTTCTTTCTTTTTGTACAGTATCTGCATTCAAGAGCTGGGAGTGTATGATTATTGTATGCTCTTGCATGTTCTACTCTGTCCTGCACCTATGATAACATTACTCTGATTCCACTGTCGCTGGCACTGGTATCTAACAGGAACTCACTTTCTTATGGTGAATAAGCTAGCACTGAAATATTTACTATAGTAAACTTTAGGGATAAAGTGCATTTGACTTCATTAAGATCAGATGAAGAAAACGTTGGCCACAAATCATTGGTAATATGACAACAACAAAAAACTGAGGAAACGGCTGTCTTCTCACTTGAGTGCAGGATGAGATCAATCTTCCACCATGGCTATCTTAACAGAGTCTTTAAAGAAGACCACATCTTTCTCTAAAATGTGGGAACACTTTCCTGGTTTTAGTTTCAAGTCTACTTTATTTATCCACTGGAACACAGTTTCAGGTTCCCAGCTACAGACTCAAAAATATGACCAAATACAAAAACATATGTAGAAAAAGCATCTTTCTTCGGTGTAAGCTTCTACATTCACAGGTATGAACTACATTCTGAAGTATCTGGGCTGACCACTAAACTATTCAGTGCAAAAAGTCCCCTGTACTACCCCAAGCCAATAGCAAAACCCAACTTGGGCTATGTCAATTTTCTAGAACAAAGCAAATGCTTCACTCCTTTCATTCTGGACAAAGTCAAGGAAGTGCTATCATTGGCCTGTACCCGATAGATGAACGTGGATAGCTCTAACCATTCACTGGAAACCAGTGTGGTCACATTGCAGGGCTGGAGTTGTGTGAGTAGCTGACTAACCCTCAATACAGGTCTAACCTGATGCCGTGGAGGTGACTGATTAGGTCTGTCTGTCTAAGGTGTAGCTGCTACAGCTGTTACTGCAGGCTTTTTCTCTCCAACAACTGAACCAAATCTGATACTTCATATTGTGCTATGATTAAAACCAACAGTTAAAGAGAAGATGTCCACCACACCCAGTTGTTACATTGCTTCACTGAGAAGACCCTCACTGGATTTATCCACATTTATGTTCTTACAATTTGAAAATGCCATTGAAAGATAGACCTTCCTTTGCAATCATTGCAGATTGGCCACATAGGAGGCTAGTTCTTGGTGTCTTTCCTTCTCTATGCCTTGAAATCAGTGTAATGGATTACCAAATTCTGCACTGGGTCAAAACAATAACCCAACTCATGGTTACTGTCTTGCAGTTCTTATCTTGCTGCTCCTCTTCCAAGTGCTTAATAGCATCAAGGGTCACCCTTCTAAGCTCAGGATCAAATATTTGACAGCCTGTTCCTTCAGACAATGGTCAAAGTCTTCTTTCATTGCACTTCTAAATATTGGGGGCATAATCTACTTAACTTTGTTGAGTGACATGCGGTATTGGCCAAAGCCTCTCCTTTGTTGGTTCTTGGCTAATGCCTAGCTGAGATATTGTGGATGCAGGCTGATAGATGTACTCAGAGACCCCAACACTCACACGAGTAATTGGCAGGGCTACCAGCTGCTCACAGCAACTTGTGGGACTGTCCCACTTTCCTACTCGATCCCAGGTGTTGTTTGAAGTCATTTCCGATGTAGTATGGTACATATCAAATCAGAGTTCATAGTTCGTGGGGTTTACCCATGGACGCCTATCTCTATTCTACCGGGAAAACAGCTATGACTGTTGGAGATTGTTCACCAGTGGTAAATCCAGTCTTTCTTCGTTTCGGACAGTGGGGCTGTAGTACTCTGGCTGGCAACACCCTGGGAATTCTGTAGAAACTTTCCCAAGTGGTCTTGAACTTGCCAACCACAAATGCAAGTCAATGACCCCCAGTCACCCTTGCCTCCCTTACTCTGATACTGATCTTCAGGGGCAAGGTTTGATCTACTGGTTTAGGTGCTCCAGATGTTGGGAGATCTTTCTGAGTCGGTAGCTATCAACTGATCAATGTGAAGGACCTTTGCAGTATGGGCAAAATTCTTATGTAAAGGAGAGGATTTCTCTTGGACTCAACCCTTTTTTTATCTTAATGTCTTTCTTTGGTAGAAACTTTCCCTCTTGCTCAAAAGTACTTCTGCTTTAGGTATTATGACATTCTATAAGTCAGAAGCATTCCTTTAAACAATTTTTAAACACAAGAGTTCAAGCAAGAGCCAAAATGTATGTAACCAAAATAGAAGACTTTGCAATAAATTCTGTGGTCATGGTGCCAAAATTTCTACTTCATAGTTACTTGTGACAATCTCAAATAAACTGATTTTTATGCAAGTGTCGGATAGGTCCACTTAATAATAAGACGACCAAGTAAGACATTTGTAAAGTAATTTGAATTTGAAAAGCCACCGAATTATAAACTTTTGGGAATATCGAGACTGTGTACATGATGGAAAGTCTAAAACAATTTATATTTCAACACAAAGCAAAACAAACAAAAAAAAACGTGGATACTTACATAGACAAACGGACAATTGTCTCTACTGGATTAATTAATGATTCAGCATCTTTCTTTTTTTCGAGACCGATCTCTGTCGAATTAAATACTTCACAAACCGGGAATAACCCTGAAAGTAATTAAGGCTCCAAACTTTTAGAAAATCTCGGTTCCTTTCGTTTTGATAGCGTCATTATATGACTGTTCTATCTCTCACAACATTTGTCCAGTGAAAGGACTGCAACCGTTCACTCCATTCTACACTAATGTGCATTGTTGCTAAATAAGAATGGACAGAGTAGATATTACCTGCTATCGAGAACAACCAAGATGCAAAGACAACCAGAACAAAACAATTTCAAAGGTTTTCTGGACTATGTGTTTATGCCCTAACTACATATAAACACTAATCGATTTTTTAATTCTGTATATTACTAAAGACGGGTGAAAAACACAAAATATGTCAGCATATCATATCACACTCGATTTAGATTGGAATCAATGCACCACCAAATCTTCTTAGCTGGTATAAATTGGAATCAAGAGTGCTACAAAAATGTTTAGATTTTCCCAAAAATTACGTCCTAAGTATAAAGTATAATTTTATATTACACTTACAGTAGGTTAGAAGTTCGATATATGATTAATAGGAACACTAACTGCTGACTTGCATAGCTAAAAACCTGGTTTCGATATCCGTTGTGGGCAGAGCACAGATAGCCCATTGTACAGTTTTGTGCTTAACTACAAACAAATACTAATTAAGAGGAAAAAACTATACAAATTTTTAACTCAATCGTACTCTATTGTCTCTTTATAAGCATTATATTAACAGCAAAATGACCTACTATGTGGCAGCACTAGGGTGTATGTTTTGGAATATGTGGGACGGGTGAATGACCGTATTAGCAAATTAATATCTGTAATTAACTTAAGTGTAAGTCAAATTAATTTGTGCGTACTCTGCACAAAAGGCTGAAAAGTTTTGTTACGGTGTAAGGCTAGTTATTTACTTAAGATAACCTGAGTTATAACTATGATAATTGAAACTAGAAATTGGTGCAATCTGGTCAACGTTAGAGTTAGTGTTTGATGTTGGAAGTTGATCTTTTTACTTTAAAGTTTGAGTTTAACTTGTAGGTTAGAATCTAACTTCAAGCTAGATTCTAAGTTGATGTAATTTATCATTTCATTCTCAGTTACATTGTTAGTAAATTCACGTAATAATTACCATTGACAATAGAATATAATACGCTATCCAAACAAAACTGTGTAGATGAGCATCTTACTCTTAGAGTTTGACTTTTGAGGCCTAAATTAATTAATGTACACTGATTTCTGTATAATTATTTTAAATAGCGGTCTCAGTGAAATTTACTTATTAATTATATCGTAGTAAAACGTCAGCTACCTAGGAGAGTAATAGCTTTAAACAATCGAATTTATTCGGCATATATATTTTAAGGATTTGAAACTGTAGTCTGTAGGGTTGAGCAGTGTATACACAATAGTCTGGTGAAAATAACTACTGTTGATCAGGAAACATATGCATTAAAAGATTAAATTTATCTAGTTCAATTTTGTAATTGTAGTAACATACACAACACTTTTCACAGTACTCAGTTGTGTATGTAATATTAATAAAGAAAACAAGTTATAAATTATGTATGTATTCTTTAGAACAAAAACTGCATGGATGTTGTGTATAAAATATAGTCAAATAAAAATTCCTATATGATTGTTGTGAAAGCAATTTACAATTTTTAATATGCATACAAATGATTTGGAAAATTATATATTATTAATACTAGTTAGAATTAGGTGAGCTACATACTAACCAAACCTAATTAAAGTTATCAAACCTAGTCTATCATAATCAAAGCTAACATAATTTGACTCGGTATAACCTTGATAAAATAACATATGCATTGAATATTAATATTATATGCCATTCTTTGCTTTTCTATTTCTTACTGTTATTCATGTAAAAAAAATAATAATAATTCCTGACAAGGCTTCATCTCACAAGAGAAACACTTCAGAAAGAAGAGATTTCTCAAGCTAAGAAAACCAGTTGTTAAAGGTCAGATTCAAACACTCAACCCTGGTATCATGAAACTGTCATACCACCAAGCCCTGTTCTGTGATGTGAAATGTGAATACATATGAACATTAGAGCATTGAACAATCATATGTTTCTAGTCATCAGATATCTTGTATATATAGTCTTTTAAATGGTCAATTCATGACCCTCAAGTATATAGTCATTAACAGACCAAAGTTTTAAGTCTAACAATGATGTAAGATTTTCTCCATATTGATCAAGAGATACAACTGTGTTTATCAGCAATGAGAAGTGATTATAATTATTGAACAATTTTTCTGACTTTTTGTTTAAAATAAAGATTTATTCACCTGAATGAATTTTTACTTTTGGGATTTACGTTATGTTTGTGTATTAGCCCCAGTTGCACAGGCTGTCCCAGCTTTGGTGATATTCACAGACAATGGGAGCCATAGCATACATGAAATGTATAAAATGTAGTTTTTATATAATAACAATAAGAGTGATTAGACTAATGGGAGATTCATTTGATGGCTTGAGTGTAAATATTGAACCTTAATCAGTTGCAGTTTCATATCTCTAAAATATATCCAATACATTGATGTTTTTCAGTGAACTATATTGTTTTAAAGCTATTACTATCTCATATTGTTGACATTTTGACTAAAATAAGTATATTGATGCTTCTTGCCACTAATTAGTGAGAACCAGTAATTATTTAGCTGTTGTCCTGATTCATTGTGTTTGTAAGGAATCTGGATGGCTTAACATGCACATGACAAGGGACCCTTTGGTTCTTCAAGAGCATCCTTGCATACCTATCTGTGAAAGAGAAAAATATTTAAGCCCACCCTTTATTTTTCAGGAAATCAATGATTTCTTTATTAATCTTGTTAAATACAGCCTCCACTACTGGTGATGGGAACTCATTCCACATGCCAATCACCTTGTTAGAAAGATAACGGTCTTAACTAGAACCTAGCCTGTCTTCTATAATTTTAAACTTTTGTTCTATTGTCTTCAGAACATAGCCCAAAGAAACTAGCAACCTTTATTCTGTTAAGTCCTTGAATAGTCTTGGAAATTTCTACTTCTTACCTTTTTCTCAACAGAAAATGAATAAAGAGATCTTAAGATATGATGAATTGTGATTAATTTTTTAATTACTTTTTATTTGTAGAGTTAATATAAAATTTTTTGACAGATATATTACTGGAAGAAATTTTGCTTTTGTATTATTTGTTCATTTGATTATCTTGTACTTTTGATTTCTTAGTAATGTTGTTAAAAACTTTTTGCTAAGTTATTAACATTTTCTTGCTTTCTTTAAGATTCCATAGAAAATAAAATAAAACGAAATTGAAAAAATTGTATTTCAAATTTGTCTATGTAATGTCAAAATAATTAAGTTTTGTCTAATATGGATTGTTGCCAAAGATGAAAAGAAATCAGATCTTACAGTCTTATACCAAAATACTTATGATGAATATGAAGTTCAATCTATTATTTGATTTACCATTTGTCGCTGAATTATATTGATTTTGGGGAATTATATCCCTTATTAGTAACCCTGGACAAGGGCAAATCAAAAGAACAAGGCTAGCATAGAAAGACATTTAGAACTCATGGTTCACAGAAGCAGTATATATCCTTTGAGTTTATAGTAAGGTACCACAACATTATTAATCAAATAATAGGTTAGGAACACTCACTAATATATAGTTTACTATGATGCATTTATATTCAAATTACAACTAATTCGGTTCATTTTTAAGTTCCACGTGGATATTATTTTCTAGGTAATTGTAGAAATTAATTTTACACTATAACTTGCACATAAACACTTGCACAAATTATAAGCTTAACACTAAAAGATTTTTTTTATATCTGTTATTAAAATTAGGCTTAAGTTTAACATAATTTTTAGTTTTTTAACAAGACTTTGTTTTATATTAAACTTCTTTGTTGTACAGGTATTTCAAATATAATCATATCTATCTCCTCAATACAGTCATGTATCTAAGTGTATTTTAATATTTAGTTTAGCAAGTCACTTAAGAAGGCTTTAAAAATGCTAATCTAATTCATTTTCTTCAATATATAGAATAAATCTTTTCTTTTTTTTCAGGTGGCAATGACAGGTGGACTTGCACTGCGAAATTCTCGGCCCAAAAACGTATTGTTTGTGCTTGCAGGGGTGGCATTTTTTTTTATTATATATCTCTTTACTACTACACGTTCAGAACTGAAAAATGTACAGAGCTCCTGGGAAAAATGTACACAGCAGCGAGATTCTCTTTCTGCACAACTTCAAGGTTAAACACCAGAAAAAGATTTTAAAGCAGTTTGTAACTCAGCTATGGGATTGACAGATTCTTTGAATGACAGAGTTACATTATATATATTTCTATTTTATATAGAACATTTCTATAATAAGGTTTATTTCATTAGAAATATATAAATATTGATTGACTTGTTTCAAAATATATTAAAATTATTTTAACATCTACTTAGTTATTTTATTTATTTTTGTAACATTTTATCTATTAAAGAATACAGTTACTAATTTCTGAATAGATTGAGGGAGGGTCTGGACTTCCTTTGGTCTACACCTGCTTATACAACACTAGAGAATACAGTGATTAATTTCTGAAAAAAAACAAGGATTGGGGTTGTCAAACTCTCTGAACACCTTCCCTAGATCCATACCTGCTTATACAACATTAAAGAATGCTGTTAACTAATTATAAATATAACACAATGTAAAAAAATGACAGTGGCAAATACCATTAGTAGCTTTGCACAAACAAAGAGACAAGGTGAGCAAGTTTAGTGGCAATGGGAATTGAACTTGAGACCTTATAATCATGAGGCACACCACCCCTCTCTGAATTATGTAACTTTGTGTTTAACAACAAACAAACATAATGGCAATATTTCAATTACTTGGATAATTGATTTCTTTACAAGACACTAAGTGATGTAATAACTGCTCTAATCAACTTGAGACTATAAATTGAACTGCACATGTCCTTTCTAATGGTGTATGAAGAAAAGAATTGACATGAGACTATGAGTTAACGGTTTTTTTCTTTAGTGATGTATGAACAAAAGAATCAACTTGACACTATAAATTGAAATGTTTTCTTTCTAGTGGTGTATGAACACAAGAATCGACTGGAGACAACCCTTCAACAGGAGAAGAAGACAAAAGAAGGTAGGAAGTATAAAGAACATAATGTATGTAATATTTGAGTAAAATATCTGTAGTATTTACAAAACTAGTGCATGGTTGTTAGCAGCTAGTAAATGTAAAACGTTGATGGCATATTTATATTCTTTTAAATTATTGTGTATCAGCTGAACAACGATATTGTAATCACAAAGGCAGACAAAACTAACCAAATTGTTATCTTAGACAAAATCATTGATGAAAGAAAGTTAGAAGGTATGTTTATGAAAAATTAAGCTCCACTCCCTTACCATAAGAAGGTGTCTGACTTTAACAGACAACTAAGTACAATTCTTGCTGATTACCCAGATATTTTAAAGAAGTTAAAGTGTATTAATCCTTCTTTACCTTACATGTACAGTTTGCCTAAAACACATAAAGAAGACTGTCCCTTGAGACCTATAATTTCTAATGTGGGATCTGTCACATACCCTTTATCTAAATGGTTAGCAGGACATCTATCCCCAGTTGTTGGAAAAATCTCATTGTCGCATATCCAAAACAGTTTAAATTTTGCGAACAAAATTAAAAACATTGACCTAAGTAAAGGAAAAATGTTAAGTTTTGACATTGAAGCTTTATGTACCAACATACCAGTTCAAGAAACCATAGAATTTCTTAAAAGAAAATTACCTGAACTGAACATATCTTGCCTGTGTAAACAACAATGTATTTCTTGGTCAGTATTTTAGACAAAAATCTGGAATGGCCATGGGAAATCCACTGTCTCCAATACTGTACAACCTTCTCATGGAATATTTTGAAACCGAATTAGTTCCTTCCATCAATATAAACCTTTCAAAAATTTTGTGGTTCCAAAATGTGGATGATATATTTTCTGTGTGGCCAAACAAAAAAGAAGTGATTTTGAAAGTGTTTTGAACAACCTTAATCAACTTTAACCAACTATCAAATTTAAAGTTGAATGGGAAAAGGATGACCAACTTCCTTTCTTGGATGTTTTGAGAACCAGTAAAAACACAGAACCAGTTCTCTCAGTATACCGTAAACCGACAAACTGAAAACCAGAAAAAATACAGAACCAGTCCTTTCAGTATACTACAAACCAACAAATTCTTTAAGTTCTGTTCACTTTTTTTTGTGTCATCAAAAACAGGTCAAAATATCTATTATTTCTTCATTTTTTCTTAGAGCATATAGAATATACCACCCGACAACGCTTGAACATGAAATTAAAAATATCTTTTCTCTTTTCAAAGAACTACATTTTCTACAGTGTTTCATTACAAATTGCCATCTCAAAGCAAAAAAAAAACCTTGTTCCTTGAAGATAAAGAAAGATCAACCAATGAACCTCAGGATGAAATATTATGGAAGAATAACCTTAGAATCATATACAAATAACCAACCACCATTAAAAATAACCTAACTTTCAACAGAAAAACACCTGATAATGAACATGGCATTTATATTATACCATGTCAATCCTGTGAGAAAGGTTAAGTAGGTGAAACTGGAAGAAGTGTTGACAAGAGAGTTTCTGAACATAAAAAAAGACATAAAAATGGAAACCAAAACAATGCTATTTTTCTTCATACGAGAGATTCTGGCCATCAAATTGATTGGAAATCAACAAGAATCAAATACGAAAAGGATAACTACTTAAAAAGAAGAATCGTCAAAAGTTGCTTAATCAGAAGCCTGCCTAATTTTAACACCTTTCAAGGTCACTAAGCTTAACAACTTCCTGACCTCTTGTGTCCTTAAGGGAATTCCAGGATCAGGGCATTTGTTGACCAGTTTTACCTGTCAGAAGACAACATGAGACTGAAGAAGATGCACAAATGTGTCTAAACCAGTTTCTCTAATATCAGACTTCTGACAGTTTGGTCCCTTTACTGTGTTTTTCACTAATAAAAACAACATTTCTTGTATAAAATATGACTAATTTGCCTCGACAACCATCAATTAAAACTTAACACATTATGATAGCTTCATACTGTCAATATCAGGAGTGACATCTACTACAAACAGAAGAATTTAAAAAGGAGAAATAATTGCCACATTATAGAAAATTAGGGATGGAAGGGTTAAGTTAACATTTTAGGTATAAACTCCAAATGTCATACCATTACTGAATATTGATGCTAGTTAATCAGTCATTTCTCTTTAATGGAAAGTATTTTAACCTACCACATAAAATTTCAATTGATGCTATAATCTAAATTCAGTTCCTGAATTAAGAGTATTAAAAGTTTAACTTCATTCCATAAAATAACATGACCCATTTCATGAGTTTGTTTTTGAAGGGGAAGAATTTAATGTATAGTTTAAAATATTGTGTGAATGAACATAAAAGTTACATATGATATAACAGGACTTTAAGTTTATTTTGGAACCTTTGATTTATATATATATATATATCAAAAATATCAGTATCTTTCTTGATAATAATATAATGTTGTAACAGATTCTATTGTTAGGTAAGAAATAATGAAAAGACCAGACCACTTAGGGAGAACGAAAGCATTTTATTTCTTCACTGTAATATTTACACTTGAACAGTTTAACGAATTAATAATAGGCCTCACCTTGCAAATAACTGTAAATAGTCATTAACTTGATAAGTTTATATATTTGCTGTACTTCTGTTGCTTTGTAATCAATCATCTACTGTAAGAAACACACATACCAATTAACAGTCTCTTCTAATGTCACCTAACTTGTATTTCTAAGAAAATTCTAGTCACTGTATCATGTGCTCATCATATAATTTAAAAACTCCCTCTAGCCACAAACATCTAAGACATCAAACATAGCTTACAACAACATGTAGATTTTGCTGACTATACTAAGACTAGGAAGGACCGATTATTTTGAAAATGTTTCTATTATACTAATGGATCTTGACAATCTTAGTTAACTAGGTCAGAATGAAAACATTTTGTTTTAATATTGAGAAATATAAGTTGTGCCCCTGCTGTATTGAAATTTACTGACTTTATGAAATTACTTACTTGACAATGTGTGCTGATAGGTTGAATTTTTTTTAACTTTTTTGTTTAGATATATATGGTTGTGAATGGTCCTAATTATTGGATTTGATGTTTTGATACTTTTTGGAGTGTTCTTTCTGTTACCTTCCTTTTTGTTAAGTTATGTTCAAAATGTTTAGGTTATTGTTAGTACAAATATTAAACTTGAATAATCTTATAGAGAAGAATAATGAAGCAATGTTGTGTTATAGTGGTACATTTAATATATCAAAGAATAATGTCACTCCATCAGTTTTGTAATGTATGCTAGATCTAGGGATACCATAGATGCAAGTAATGTATTAGAGTGAAATCTCATTAGTCCAGACATTGACAAATATGGATTATTCACCATATGATTGATTTGTAATATAGACAAATCTTCACAATGGGAAATCTAACTGATAAACCATATATTCACAATCGAACTCTGAACAGATATTTATTATAACAAATATGCATTTTCTATGTTTATATGATTCAGTAGTCTATATACGATTCCACAAGTAGGGGTCGATTAGAATAGAAGACCAGGTGATGATTACTAACCAAAAAACACCTACACTTACTGTGTACACTGGTTTATGACAGTATTATTAGAACAACCTTCACAGCAAAAATGTACATATAAACTATAACAGACATTGAGAGGTCATAAGAGTGATTTATGCTACAGTCAAGTAGAGTTACGGTGCTCCAAAATGAAGATACCTATAAATATCAACATCATTAAAACATGATGTGTGTTTATACAAGAATACAATACATGAATTAAGTATCATTTATACTATAAGTCATTAGTATGAACAAAATTATGATTTATGTGAAGATAATGAAATAATATGCTACTTTGATTATGCAGTTTGTATAATTATTGATAACATAAAATAATAAACTGATAAATTTACTGTACATACAGTTGTGTTTTGTTTATCAGTTGTAATCCCATGCTAACTAGATGCACTCTTACATTTATTGATTGATAAACACATGCTATTAATAGTGTCTCTGTTGTATTCAAAGTGACTGGTTTGATGTCTTGATAATCCAGAAGAATTACAAATGCATTTGGATTAATGAGGTTTCACTGTAGTTGAATCAGTTTTTTTTAAGGTAGTCAAAGTAACAAGAATAAACTGAGAATAGGTTGAACCAATAAATGCCAAGTTTAGTCTTGATACCATAGAGACAAATTTTTATCATCAGATTAAATATTCTTTCCACAAAGAACAGGAGTGGAAGTAAGAGGAATGTTTGTATCTAGTTTAAAAAGAGTTCATTAGTTATGCTAGTAGCCATTAGGTCTAACATATTTTGATTAAAAAATCACTTAATATGGCAGATAATTTGTTTTTCACAATCTTCTTAATTTGTCAATTTCACATTTCAAACCAAGTGTGTAAAAATAGGTTTTAGTGTTTAACCCGTGGTTATGCTAGTATTTAATATATGTTGTTGCATTGTTTAAAAGGTTTATGAAAGTATCTACCCAGTTTATCTTCATGATACATACTATACTTGTGTGTGCTTGTACTTACAGATTCCAGAAAAAAACTCTCTGTACTGGAAAGTCAACTGTCTACAGAAAAGGTAATATGTTACAATAAAACATTTATTATGAGCTAGTTCCTAGTGTTTTGCCAGATGATGATTTATTGCTTAAACAAAGTAAGCTACAAGTCTGTTATAAGCAGCTGCAGTATCCACTAAATTAATTTAAAAAAGCTCCCAGTGCTTTACCAAATGATGAGTTATGACTAAAACCATTGTAGATGCTGCTGCTCCACAGGCTAAAGATTTATTGCTAAAACAAAGTAAGCTAAAGTAAGTGTGATTCCAATATAAGCAACTGCAGTGTCAACCCAAAAAGTAAATTGGTATTGGAACTTGTTGGATTAGGATGCTCTTGTAATTAATGTTCGCCTGCTTATCTCTATGATATTTACTGGACTTCATTATCTGAAGGTCTTCAGTGTTGTTATTGACTCTAGAGACTTAGGCTCATGTAGCCAGACATCAGTCCTCAGTCTTCCTTGGTTTCTCATCTCAGATTGGTTCTTCAGGTTCTCACTCACTTCTTCTTCCTATCTCCATGTTTTCTTTCCTCCTCCCTCTGACCCCATTTATCTTCAGCTTGTTTAAGATGCAGCATGGATCCCTATGGCAAGAATGCTGTTGAAAAAGTTTTTACCCTTACTCTGGGATATTACTCTTATCAACTGGTCACTAGTCGTTCCACAGTTCTGAATAGAGGGTTTCTTTTCTCTCTCTGGTAGTCCTTTTCACTCTGTCTGTAGATGACCAAGGTAGACGTATCAATTTTTTTTACAATTCCAATTGCCCCATCCTTCAGACATTTTCTTCATTTTGGACATTTTCTCCATTTTTCTCTAGTTCCATACTCTTCCTTTTGGCATTGCTTATGCTCCTTACATCTTCATTCAATTCATAGGGGCATTCATCTGCCATATTTATTGATTGTTGCTGAGGTTCCACATCAAATAGATGATTGGCTTCTCCTTGCCCATTTATGGTTGAACTCCTTTTCTTCCACCTACATTTTTCTGCAGGAGACTGTGTAGTTAGGCTGACTAGTCAAGCATTTCAGATATTTTTTTCATGCCTACCCAATATTTGGTACATCTGTGCATGTTCTTCAACTTTCATCTCAATCGGGCTCAGCCTTCACCACTTTGTCTGCCAGCAATTGAATGTCTTGTCACCAAGATTCACATTTCTCATTTACACTCTGCATGTTAGGTTCTTTCCATTTTGGGGACTCTGGCTTCCCTAGAATCACTCATTCCTTTAGGCCATGCACACATGTGCCTCCTTCAGCAGACATTGCGGGACCATTGGAACCTTTCTCAGGACCCATTGTTCTCAATTATGCACCTCCCTTCTCCTTTTCTAGAGGACTTATCTTGATGGCTTAACTGTGCCAATACCATGGTGGACATCCCCTTGCTGCCTTCTTGACCAGATATCCATCTTTTCACAGATGTTTTTCTTTCAGGCTGGGAGCACATCTCTGAATGACGACATGATTTCAGGCATGAGCTCTGGACAAGCATTCATTCCACATCTACATTATTAAACTTGTCACAATTCCTTGGTCATGTTTTCATTTTTTCTCTCTTCTTGTGGATTTGTTGGTCATGATCCACTTAAACAATTCCGCAGTCGTTTCTTATATCAACCATCAGGGGATACCCATTCCAGGACTCTAAGCTTCCATGCATTGGACTTGATATTTTGGGCTTATTCCCATCAAGTAAGTCTCATAGCTTGTCATGTACCAGAGACTAGTAAGTCTTATAGCTTGTCATGTGCCAGAGATTCTGAACCTGGTGGTGGATTGCTTGTGTTAGCCAGACTGGAATCTACCACAGAGTGGTCTCACCATCCTCAGATTTTTGATTGGGTTTGCTCTCAGTTGGACACACTTGTCATTGATGCCTTTGCTACTCCTCTCAACACCAAAATTCCACTTTTCTGGTATCCAGTCTCTCATCCTTCGGACCTGGTGGTTGATGCTCTCGGCCAGGACTGATCTCAACTTTTTCTGTATACCTATCCTTTTCTGCACCACCTCCCTCATGTCCTCACTTTGATTGGCAACACTACTTGTTGGATCCTGTTGGTGGCAACTCTTTGGCCTACACAACCCTGGTTTCTTCTGCTTCATCAGTGAATGTCCAGGCCCCCCTTCTTCCTCCATCCCATTTCCCCACTCCTCTCTCTTGCTCCAACCTCACCTCATTTTCACCTAGGGGTGTCTTCCCTTCATCTTCATATGTGGGATTTATCTGGTACATCACCTGTAGGGCCAGACTATTGTTTTGATCATGTAGCTTTCTTCTTATTCCATTCCTGTCATCCTTCAAATTTGTCCATCTATCAATAGAAGTGACAAGTTTTTTTTACATTGGTCCACCCACCACTCCCTTTCTCTGAGCCATCCTGCTGTGGCCAACCTTTTTACCTTTTTCATATGGTTGTTCAAACATGGATTTTTGGTCTCCAACATAGCTGATTATTGGGTGGCTTTGTCTTTTGCTGACCCTTGGACAAGACCCTTCAGACTGGCATGTGGATGAATTTGCACTCATTTGTCTCCCATTATCTTCATCATTTGGCTGTTTTATTTTCTGTGGGATTTCAACTCACTTTGGTTTCTATTTTTCAATCTAATCACCATTTTGGAGAAAGGTATGTTCATTTTGTTTTTTCATCACCCTTTTCTCTTTTATAGGATCCCTTCATGTGGCTGGTGTTGCATACCAGGATATGCTTATCCCCCAAAATTTGCTTCATGTCAGAGGTAATGGAAAGTGCTCAACCCATCTACCCTGGCTCCACAAGTGCCTACTGTTAAGATTACGTGTTCAGCATGACATTGAGAGGCATCCTCATGATATTCACACTACTTAATTGTCTGATCCAGACCATGCCATTCTATATACTGTCATGGATAAAACTAACAACAGAAAAATGTCTACCCACTTCTTTGGCTTCTGTTTGTTGTGTTTTAAAAATAGGGTTTCACAGTCACTCATTGCACTGTCTCCAGTAAAAGACTTTTCTGGCAGACATCAAATGGGGATTTGAGCACTCCCAATGCAAATACCCCCCTCCCTATTTAAGTGGAGCACAGGAGACCCTTGCCATTCATCAGTTCATAGCTGCTGTGGTGGTGGACCTTGGAGAGTTCCTCATTGATTGTGTACAGGTGGGAAGTATGGCATTAGTGACACTGTCTGTCTGGTGTGGGTCACTCCTCAAGCAGCTAGTTTGTGCTTCTCCCACAGCAGGACAGGTTCATCATGCTCATCTCTGTCTGTTTAGTTGAGCTGTGGTGCAACACACACTGTACAGTTTAATCATGACCTAACCACACTATACTTCTTGGCTTGAGGACCACTTGTATGAGGAAGCTTGGTTGGTCATGCACAAATTCTTCCCATCCCTGCAACACATGAGGATTTTTGGCCTTCCCCTCTCTTTCCTTGTGGGTGAAGAATAAACTCTGGTCTAGAGGAGATGTCTGTGATGTTTTTGTATCTATATGAACCCCTGTCATTAGGTGTCACACTTCATGGGCTTTCCCTTCAGGCATATCTGAAGGGAGCTTATCTAGATTTAATGTTTGCACTGGCCCCTCTACTATTTCCATGAGGGATTCTAGCTATTCTTTGTGAAGAGGTGAGGTATCATCTCAGAGGTTAATATTTTCTTTACTTGAAACTGTATTTCTGATAGATATCTCCACCCACCCTTCCCATTTCTGGCGCACTTTGTTTTCCCTCATCTAAGAATGAAGTTATTTTGTAGTGCAAGTGCTTAGGATGAAGGGCTGTTATCACATGATGATGTTATCATGCACTGGCATAGTTCATGATAAACATGTGATTATGAGATTGGAGTTAGCTCAAGGCTAGTGGCATGCAAGACTCATAAGCAGATGCTTGTGGGATCAAGTTATTCTGTGTGAGGAGGTGAGTACCCATTGGAAATACATTTCCAGATAAGGAAAATGTTAACTTCTGAATGTCTAACTGAATCATGATTTCCCACTAAAATCATTGTAGAGACTACTGCTCCACAAGCTAATGATTTATTGCTAAAACAGAGTAAGTTCCTATTATGTTCCAATGATGACTTACTAATAAAGTGTTGTAGTACATTTCAAGATATTGATTTCTTACTATAACCAAGTATGTTGCTATTATTCTATCAGTTTATTTGAGAAACATCAACAAAGGGACTTAGAAAATGTTTTTTTTAATTCTTTGGTTATTATTTGATTAACATATATGTCCATTATTGTAGTTTCCTTACAAATTTCAGGACACTTTTCAGAAACTTCAAAAGGAACTAGGTCAGCTCAGGCAAGATGTGGCTCTCCTGAAGGAGGAAAAACAACAACTGGAATTAGAAATGACCAGCCAGCTTCAACAAGTGCAACAGCAGAAGGAACTTGAATCCAACAAACTCCATGGTCAGATAAAAAAAAGACATTCTATGAACATAAATATATATTTTAATATAATGTTTTCATGGATATTAACTCTCTCAACATGGGCTTGGTCAATTTGACCAACCATGTGACTTCTTTGTACTCGATTAAAGTCTTTACTTATAATATGAACTGAATGACTGCTAAATTTTGTGAAGATATACATACTGTTACATATCTGCTTGTTTGTTAATTTCCTGGTATAAATTCTTCCCGAGGAACTTCAGCGATACAAGTCCTTTCTTAAATAAAACTAGTTTATTCTTTCTCAATACAACTTTGCAATATGCAGAATTTCCCAGTCAC